TTAGCTTGGGATATTTATACTAATTTAGAATTCCTTTTAAGGTTATTTCTGTCCACCCACCCTTTGACAGCGGGATTTATTACTTTTTTTAAACATTTTACACGCTCTAGATTTATTTACCTTTTTCAATCCTTTTTCCACGCCCAAAATTTATTTTTTCCTTAAACATTACAAACTGTTCGACAAAGAACTTTTTTAGTTAATAATTCGCCACACTAAGCAAAGGCACATTTTATAATACTTTCTTTGTAAATTTCTTCTTCAAAATTGATCAAAAATGTCAAAATTAGAAGATTGATTTTGATATGAGTAAATTTTATAGAGTTTTTCTTGATCTCCCTGTATATAATAGAGTGGTAAGACTATTCACCGGGAGGTATTTTCTTGATCTCCCTGGATATAATAGAGTGGTAAGACTATTCACCGGGAGGTATTAAAGCAACAGTGTTCTGGACACATTCAGACACACACTTTTTAAACGAAACAAACAAGAACAAGAAAATATAGAAAAACATGATATTTAGAAATAAATAATCAATTTATTTATAATGAAAATCCGAGAAAAGGAAAAAACAGAACAGAAAGAATAATAAAAGATAGAATAGAAAAAATAATGAAATATAGAACAGGAAGAATGATAATTAATAAAAGAAAGAATAGGAAAAATAATAAAAGATAGAACAGAAAGAATAATAAAAGATAAAACAAAAAGAATAATGAAAGATAAAACAGGAAGAATAATAAAAGATAAAACAGAAAGAATAATAAAAGATAGAACAGGAAGAATAATAAAAGATAAAACAAAAAGAATAATAAAAGATAAAACAGAAAGAATAATAAAAGATAAAACAGGAAGAATAATAAAAGATAAAACAGGAAGAATAATATAAGATAACACAGGAAGAATACTAAAGATATAACAGAAAAAATAATGAAATATAGAACAGAAAGAATAATATAAGATAAAACAGGAAGAATAATAAAAGAAAGAACAGGAAGAATAATAAAAGATAAAACAAAAAGAATAATAAAAGATAAAACAGGAAGAATAATGAATGAGACTGAGAATAGAAGAGGAAAAGGAAACGAAGGAAGAATGAGAATAGAAGAGGAAAAGGAAACGAAGATAGAATGAGAATAGAAAAAGAAAAGGAAACGAAGGAAGAATGAGAATAGAACAGGAAAAGGAGACGGAGGAAAAATAAGAATAGAAGAGGAAAAGGAAACGAAGGAAGAATGAGAATAGAAGAGGAAAAGGAAACGAAGGAAGAATGAGAATAGAAGAGAAAAAGGAAACGAAGGAAGAATTAGAATAGAAGAAGGAAAAGGAAACGAAGGAAGAATGAGAATAGAAGAGGAAAAAGAAAACGAAGGTAGAATGAGAATAGAAGAGGAAAAGGAAACAAAGGAAGAATGAGAATAGAACAGGAAAAGGAAACGAAGGAAGGATAAGAATAGAAGAGGAAAAGGAAACGAAGGAAGAATGAGAATAGAAGAGGAAAAGGAAACTAATGTAGAATGAGAATAGAACAGGAAAAAGAAACGAAGGAAGAATGAGAATAGAACAGGGAAAAGGAAACGAAGGAAGAATGAGAATAGAAGAGGAAAAGGAAACAAAGGAAGAATGAGAATAGAAGAGGAAAAAGGAAACGAAGGTAGAATGAGAAAAGAACGTGAAAAAGGAAACGAAGGAAGAATGAGAATAGAAGAGGAAAAGGAAACGAAGGTAGAATGAGAATAGAAGAGGAAAAGGAAACGAAGGTAGAATGAGAATAGAAGAGGAAAAGGAAACGAAGGTAGAATGAGAATAGAAGAGGAAAAGGAAACGAAGGTAGAATGAGAATAGAAGAGGAAAAGGAAACGAAGGTAGAAGGAGAAGAGGAAAAAGGAAACGAAGGTAGAAGGAGAACAGGAAAAAGGAAACAAAGGTAGAAGGAGAACAGGAAAGGGAAAAGGAAAGGGTGTGGGGAGAAAACCCAAAGAATTGTATCTGGGGTAAATATATATATTTGTATAAAGTAAGGTTTGGAGAGGGATGGAAGAGGGAGGGGGGAGGAGGAGGGATAGATCCGTCCTGGACTCGGAACTTTATCTCAGTTTCTTCAAGACCTCCGGACCATCCAGTACTTATAGTACGTGGGATCCTGACACCGACTATTATAGTGTCAATACAAATACTTCAACCTTTAGATACATAGTTGTACTTTGTAATTTTACCATTATTAGGTAAATTTATATACACATTGCACATAGACCATACCGAGTCCGTCCATATCTGTATCTGTACTGAAACGGCCGGGCCACGTACATAAGTCAAATAAAACGCACTATACGTTTATAAACGATGAGACATAACCTACTGGTATACGGACCAAACAGTCCTACATGGTCAATATTAGAAACTTACAACAGATACACGAACCGAACAGTCCTACATGGTCAATATTAAAAACAGACAATAGAAACACGGACCAAACAGTTCTACAGGGTTAATATTAAAAACATACAACAGATACACGGACCAAACAGTCCTACCTGGTCAATATTAGAAACATACAACAGATACACAAACCAAACAGTCATACACGGTTAATATTAAAAACAGACAACAGATACACGGACCAAACAGTTCTACCTGGTCAATATTAGAAACAGACAACAGATACACGAAACAAACAGTCCTACCTGGTCAATATTAGAAACATACAGTAGATACACGAACCAAACAGTCCTACCTGGTCAATGTTAGAAACATACAACAGATACACAGATACAACAGATACAACTGATAACCTAGTGGTACACGTACTATCCACAGTCCATATTACACACAGCCGTACAACACACAGTGCGTGCTACAAACACCCCATACTACACCCAAACATATAGAACAAACAAACTGAAATGTGCAAGGTTTCACAAATTCTAAAGTTTAAAATAAATTTTTGAAAAACTAGTTTTACACAATTTGTCATGAAGAAATTTAAAATGATTGAAGGAATAAAGTAAAATATTTGTGTGCCTTATTCACCCTGGTATTAAATATTTTCCTATACAAATTATAAACAGTTACATGCAATGATAGAAATCAGTTTATGTGTTTAGCAGGAATCTTACTCATGTGTTTTGTATTCACCAAATATACAAAGAATATAGATGTACACATAATTACAAAAATATAATATATGCAAATTGCACAACTATTTATGCTCAACGTTGGTTTGAAAACTAATTAAACAACTCGTAATTATGCATTCCTTTACTAGCTTGTACTACTTAAACATGAATGTATAATGTTTATATATGTACATATACCAAAGTATGTATACCAAGGTACATATACCAAGGTATGTATACCAAGGTATGTATACCAAGGTATGTATACCAAGGTATGTATACCAAGGTATGTATACCAAAGTATGTATACCAAGGTATGTATACCAAGGTATATATCTAAAGGTAGTTTTGTGTACTATACACCGTGACGTATTTGGACCGCTCAAGAACCGGATTAGAGTAAGTAAACAAGCCTGAGGCCAAATTTCTTAGATTTAAGCCGTGGCTCAAATATGGTTGGTTCCACTTAAAATTGTATTAAGTTTTTCATGATTTAAGCCGTGCTCGATTGAAACCGGTTCGGGGGGATTTGAGACGCGGCTTAAATTCATTAAATTCGGACACAGGTAAGGAAATTTTTTCTTCTTAGTTTTTTTATTTTTATTTTTTATAAATCAACTAAAGAATTTGGTTAACAGGAGGGCTGAGCTAAAACAGCTCCAGACTCTTGAGTCCGCCTGTTGTGGAAAATATTATTTTATATATTTACATATTGTGATTCGTTGAAAATTAAATTCATAAATAGTGTTTTTCTACAGAAATAAATGATTTGATTTGATTTGATACCTTATCCTACACGAAACCAATCCTCTTTTTATCTAACAAGACCTTCATCATCTTTGCTCGACACGTAGAGTTTTGTCGTTTCTGCTTTAGTTTTTGACGAAAACCTTTGAAAATAAATTTTAGATATGTTTTAATGGTTTGACAAGTAAATTGTTTAATTGACTTATTAAAGACTTTTGAAGTTTAAAAACTGTACACAGGGTTACATGTTACGATGAGACCACTAGCATATGAAAATATTATGGTGGAATTAAGTTTTCTGCCTTAATTTTAATCTTTAAATGGTTTATTAGATGATTTTGCATAGAAAAAAACAATTTAACAGTTGCAGGGAATTATAAATATAAGAAACAGACTGTACAAATTCTGTACAGTCGTCTATGGAGTCTCATTCTTATAAAGTCAAGTTCAACAACACAATGTAGTATTTAATACTAATATAAAGTCAAGTTCAACAACACAATGTAGTATTTAATACTAATATAAAGTCAAGTTCAACAGCACAATGTAGTATTTAATACTAATGAAGATAAACATAGCTACTAATCTCCAACCAGTGCTTTCCAACCACAATAACAATATATTTTTCATTCAAGTAATTTAACACAGATCTTAAACTCGAATTGTTTAATTCCTTTATCTTTGGTACAAGATGATGTAGATCTTAGATATTTAAAATTTTGAATTCTGCTTATCTTTATAGTAAAACAAGACATTCTTATATATATATTTTCCCTATAGCCGGCCAAACGGCTGGACCGATTGGTCTGACATTTTTTGTGGACACTCATGGGTAGCCGTGGGTGTTTTAGGCTAAAAAAAATCCCATTTTTTCCAAATTTTAAGTATAACATATAGTGATATCCAGGACAGTGTCTGAAATTCCACCAATCAGAATGTCGTTTTGTTTAGATATTCAGATTAAGTGATCGGGATAAAGGTTATCCAATTCAAAAGTTTCCAGCTCCAAAGATGGAGCAAGTAATTAGCCCCTAAAAAAACTAAAATATTCTCTCAGTTGATATAAATTAAGATATATTATTAATCTTATTAAATCATTCCTAATTTTTCTATTGAACAAAAATAACTAATTCTATTTCAGGTTGAATTGAGATCTATTTTCAAAAGAGTGATATCTATTAAATAAAAGTGCGAAGTGTTTCCGATGATCTAAAATGTAGTCGAACCTAGTGCGGTTTGTGCAGAATGAAGAGAAAATGAAACTGGCGTTGAACTGATAATTAATTAGAAGTTGCTTAGTTCATCCTGCGGACACAATGTTTATATTCCTTCTTCTAGTTTCAACCACAGCTCAGGGTAACTTATTAATTCATTTTTCTTCGAATTATTTTTATGAATAGATTAAAATGAGATTTTCTTCTTCAAACCTGAATATTTTTATTGAAAATGGATAATTAACCCTAGCTACACTTTTCCTTTTCAGCTAAAATTCACATTTCACATACAGGGGCGTGCACAACATTCTAACTGAGAAAGAGAGAGAAGAGGGTCAGAGTGGATCAGGGGCGTTTACAGAAATTTGTCTAGGGGGATCATAACCTTTTTCAACTTTCCCGGGGGAGGGGTGAGGGAAGGCGCTCCCGTTGGGTGGAATGCAGTTTTAAGTCGTCTGGCAAGGTTCGGGTTAACGTTAAACAGTTTAAAATTATCTTTGCAACAAACCCATTTTTTCTAATCCCTATATCTTTGCAACCTGATTATTTTATCTAATAGAATTTATAGATTTGAAATATCAGATTTACGACATTGGCTTGCGAAGATATTATTAGAAAAAGGGGTTTTGGAAAAGACTCAATTACTCTGAGAAAATCAAATTTTATTTTTCCAAAATCAAATTTTATTTTTCCAAAATCCAATTTTATTTTTCCAAAATCCAATTTTATTTTTCCAAAAACAGTTCCAGTTTGTAGCGAGGTCAGGGGGACGGTTATTAAAAAAATACACCGATATAATATAATGTGAATGATGCATAAATGAAATCTCTACAGATAAAATAGAATTTATATAATCTCAGGAAAATGAAATCAAGTCAGTTTTTTGCTCATTTACATATTTTGTTTTCATGTTTACACAACGTATCGAGGCCTGCAGACAAGATTACAAGAAAGAAAAAGATTTATTTTAAAAAGATAATAGGATGGGGCCCCCCCATCCTATATTTTTTTCGCTACATTATTATGCGATTTTTAATTAAATAGAATTCAATATAAACAGATTTTGTACAGATTTTTGGAGATTCCATATACACCAAAATCTCCCAAGAAATTGAATCATTACCACAAACTCAAACGATCTAACAGAATTCATAGTTGAAAATATCTAAAGTCTACTGCATTAGATTGCGAAGGTAAAGAGATGAGAAAATCAGAATTTGTGGCAAAGACTCAATTCCTTTCTGCCACTACAGAAAAGTTCTGAAAGAATAATAGATTTATGTAGTTTTGATTTGGTTGTAGGATTGATTTTGTATTGTATTGTAGGATTGATTATGTATCGTACTGTAGGGTTGACTATGTATTGTTTAGTAGTATTGATTATTTATTGTACTGTATGATTGATTATGTGCTGTATTGTAGGATTGATTATGCATTGCATTGTAGGATTTATTATGTATTCTACTGTAGAAATAATTATGTATTGTACTGTAGGATTGAATATGTATTCTAGGATTTATTATTTATTGTATTGTAGGATTGATTTTGTATTGTATTGTAGGATTGATTATTAATGTACTGTAGGATTGGTTATGTATTGTATTGTTGGATTGATTATGTATTGTATTGTAGGATTAATTATGAATTTTATATGTAGGATTGGTTATGTATTGCACTGTAGGATTTGTTATGTGTTGTATTGTAGGGTTGATTATGTATTGTATTGTAGGATTGGTTATGTATTGTATTGTACGGTTGATTTTGTATTGTATTGTATAGAGTAACAGGGTTTATTATGTATTGTGTTGTAGGATTGATTATGTATTGTATTGTAGGATTGATTATGTATTGTGTTGTAGGATTGATTATGTATTGTATTGTAGGACTGATTTTGTCTGGTACTCCGCAGTCCTATGCCCAGTACAGCAAATGGTACATAGCAATCAATTCTACCCTAGGTAAAGCTATTATGTTACCTATTAAACTTATGACAGAATTGTCATAACAATATAATAGAAGAAAACAAATTAAAGAGTATAAAAACTTGTTCAACAAAGCCAACCTGAGAATTACATTCTGACGTGTTGTAGAAAAACTTTTTGACATTTTTGATCCTTGTTCAGAGCTTGAGTTTCGAACACGGGGGGAGGACGGACTTCTGGTTTATATGGATGATGGAGGATATTATGATTTCTTGGAGATAAAACTGTCAGGGGGCGGGCTCAGGGTTCGGTTTAACCAAGGAGGCGGCCCGGAGCTCTTCTCTTTAGGAGAAGGACTAGCAGACTTCAACTGGCATAAGGTTAGTCAATCATATGAATAACTGGATTTTTTTCTCAAAATAAAAAGTAAAAAACATCCAATTAAAGAGCAAATTGGATTTTTTCAACAATAAGAAGCTTTAGTGGGCGAAAAAATATGTTTTTTACTTTGTTGTCAATTGCGCGTCGATTTTACAGAAAAGAAAATTTCATCTGAAATGATTCTAATTTTACTTTTATTTAAGTTATTTGTAATTTGAGGTTAATGAATGAATGCTGTAACTTTGTCCTTTCTGACATGTTTTGTGGGACACAAATATTAACCAATTAAAGATACGTTGGTATATATCAACTACAACCCCTAAACAGTTGATAAATGAATAGAAATAAAAGTTTAAAAGATTGTTCTAAATGCCGCAGTGTAGAATATTACTTTATAGTTGAAAACATAAATGTATTTTGGAAGAAAGAGACTCTGGGAAATAGGATTTTAATTGTTTCAATAAATATACTACACCATCCTAACGTTTTAAATATTCATTGGGGAGTTTCTTATCAAAGGATAAAAATTATTCCGCTAATTTTTCTTATGTATTCATGTAGAGATAGATAATATATATCTTTATTAATATTCAAATTCTAAAAATTTATTGTAAAATAAAATAAGGGAACCATTTAATTTAAGTTGATAATAAATTTTTTCATTTTTTCTGTGGGATATTTAAAAGAGATTCTCTAATTCTTCAGAAAAAAACCCGATTTGTTTATGGCACTTTTGAATTAAAAACGCTGTTTATATACGTTTATATCCAAAGGTTGTTGAAGCTAAGATAACTATCAAGAAATAGCCCTATATGATACACAGAAATGATAATTATTATTTTTCTAGAAAAGTAATAAAAGTAATCGTTGCTCTGTGTGTGTGTCATGAATATATATTTTCTCGAGTCACGGAAGTTCGTAGTAAGATTTTGACTCCACTGGAGTCCACCGGAGGGAATTCTTTTTCACTGGAGGGGTTTGAAAAAATGCTTTTTACAATTCAAAACTTTACGCAGGGTGATTTACATTCCACTGGAGGGATTCAGATTTCCTTCCTGGGGGGTTATAATTCCACTGGAGGGATTCAGTTATCCTTCCAAGGGGTTTATAATTCCACTGGAGGGATTCAGATATCCTTCCTGGGGGTTTATAATTCCACTGGAGGGATTCAGTTATCCTTCCAAATGGTTTATAATTCCACTGGAGGGATTCAGTTATCCTTCCAAGCAGTTTATAATTCCACTGGAGGGATTCAGATATCCATTCAGAGGCTTTGTAATTCATTGGAGGGATAGAGATTTCTTTTCTGGTTGTTTCTTATTCTACTGAAGGGATTCAGTTATCCAACTAGGCGTTCATATTTTCATTGTTTGATTCATATATATTGGAAATCCATTAATAAACTTGGATACTATAAACAACATCAATTATCAATTAACGATTATCTGGCCCTTAATACTGATATAGATTTAAGTATATTGTCATTTCCTGATCCAAGTTGGGTCCCTTAAACAAATGTTAAAAAAGAAAATTACATTATAGCCATTTAAATAATTTTTTTTTTCAATAAAAACTATTACTTAAAAATAGAAGAAATCCGGATTCAATTTGTATATAGGACAGTTTGCTTGAAAAGCACATCTGGAACGTCACTGCTGAGAACTGCTGAACTGGCTCAGCATGGCTAGAAATTGGTGCAATCAAAGAAACCATCCAAGAATAAACGTTCAATACTTTTCTAGCAGCTTTAATTTAAGTTTAGAAGTTGAATGTGCTTAAATATTTTCATTGGACAATTACAAATATTAATACTGGAAACTCTTCAAATATGACAATCACAAAAATAGATGCTTTAATTTTTCCTTTTAAATGGTTTAAATCTCAACAGAGAGAAACGATTAAAACTAACTAACAAAAAAATAAACCTTTCCTATAAAAATAGAAACCTGTGTCAAGATTTCATCTCTAGGTTTAACAAAAAGTTGTAGTGTTTTAAGATTTTATTAAACTAATTTATAACATATAATTTGGATAGTCACATTTTTGGTAAGAAGTCGGCCGTTCCTGAAATACAAGATTCAATAAGTCAATTATTTATCATGATTACAGAAAATATTTTTGTAAATTCAACTCTTAAGTGACCTTTCATTTTGTTAACAAGGAAATTCTTTTATTTTTTATATGATCACTTGGGTTGAAGATATTATTTTTTCAATTTGGAGTTTATTTTGACAGATTCTAAATAGTTTCAAGCACTTGTAAGTCTGCAAGCCATTTAAAACCACATATTCACCAAACAAAGTTGAAAGGGTAGCTTTGTTAATTGGACAAGCTACTGTATATAATGGACAGTCAATAACAAAATAAATATTTTAGAGATTGGTAAAATATCAACTAATAAGAAATTATTATTAATATCATTCTAGTTTTTAATTTCTCATTTTGAGTAGTTGCTGTAAGTAAAATTGTAGGGTTGGGCTAATTTCCGTTCAAGGAACGGATTTTTAAAAAAATTAAGAGAAAAATCTGTTAGCCAGCGGCAAAAACTTTTAATTTTTAAAACGTTTAAAGAACAGATTAGATGTTTAAAAAAAAATTAACGCTAAAAAAGGGGTTTAAATTGCATTTAACTTGTAAAAGAAATTTAACGTCTTTAAAAAGTTTTAATTGTTTTAAACGAAATTTTAAATGTTACTCGTTTAAAACCTTTCACACCATTTCTTATGCACTTCTTGCCATTCCCGTAATTAATGATTTTTTTTAACCGTTAATGCGATTAATAAAATTCAAGTCATTAACTAAGGCTAATTTTACAAAAACGGTAAATGTTGTTAATGAACAGATGAACTAATTTGAAGTTTAAATATAAGGGCTACTTTAAATTTTACTTTTTTAACAGTTTAAACTAACTGTTAACGAAACATCTCGAAAAACTGGAACGTGCCCGACCTTATTTAATTTTACTTTTATTTTAATTTAAGATTAAACCGCAATTAAATGAAATTATTAATTTTATCAATTTATTAATTTTATTAGTAAACTGTTGTTTAAATTGTTAGCTCTTGAATCAAATGCTGGTTCATCAAAAATCGTCTTCCTTACGTAAAGGAGTATTTAATATTCGTTTCTCAACCTCTAGCCTCTCCATAGAGAAATGATCCATGTATATCTTTATCAAAGCCTCTGGTAGCAAAACCTTCCAAACATAATCGTTGTTATCCCTTTTCTCCTGATCAGTCCGCATCCAAACCTAAAAATTTATTTTCAGAGGTTGAAACTTTTAGATAGTTTAGATTAGTCACATCTAAGTAATTTTGTATCCATCGACATGGTAACTGTAGATTTAACTTCAAGAGACCCTCATATAAAACGTGTGGAATGCTGACAATATCTATTTTAGCTGTGCGAGAAACCACAATTGTAAATAATAAAATTGTTAGGCAAGAAAATTAGGATTTCTTAATCTTCCTATAATTATTTAAGTAAAAAAGCTTAATCCGACATGTCAATTTACAGATAAGGATAACATAAATTTTTATCTGCATTTACTTTAAAATATATTGCCAAACATAACCTTGGAAATCTCGTCTATAACCCAATCTAGCTGTTGCTCCGTGTAAGGGTCATAAATCATACTGAATCTCAACGCCTGCCTATCTGCCCCTGCCCGGGCATACTGGTCATGCCGGGCACAATTTCCCCTCCCAGACCAAATCTCCTTAACATTAGTGTGTTTTTTGACAATTGATAACCTATAAACAGTGGAATTATTGTTAATATATTGCTGAATAATCTATAATGTATAATTATTTTCTCTCTAAAAATGATTAAAAATTTTCCAGCCATAAATAAATAATCAATGACAAAGGTTCATATTTATAATAAACTAGAAACAAAATTTTTTTTAACTGTTTCAATGTATAATATTGTTGTAGATTTTCTGTTTTAAAAGGGGAAAGGAGATATCAAAAATATTGGTATGTCTGGTCAAAAATCTACTTAAAAACATTGACGACTGAATTGCATGACAGATAAGATACATTATGAAATTGAATTTCATTTAGAGGTAATGTTGTCGTTTAAACCATCTTATTAAAGAGGGACATGTATGATTCACAACTGTGCTTTTTCAACAATAATGTTGAAAAACCTTAATTTATTGAGCTTGATAAATGCTTTGTAACAAACTCTTCAGTGAAAAGAAAAGATTATGGATAGGTTGATCTAACAAAGCTGATAAGGTTATTCATTTTGTTAATTTGACATTTTACTCTTGAGAAATTCAGTCTAAAGACCAATTAAATTACCAAATTAAATACTTTGCTTACTTTGAAAAATTCCAATCTTTTGTTGAAAAGTTCTCTAATAACAGGTTCAGTAACCTCAGCCTCTAGCCTATCCCTGAAACCTTCATTTTCCTGGAGGTATTTCTGGTACTCGACCTCCTCAACTTTTGCAGCCTTCATGTTGAGAGGATAGTAAATAAATATATCACCAGTTATCCAGAAATCCAAAAAATCATCAAAAATAACTTATATACCAAAAATCAATCAAACATTATACCAAAAAATCTATCAAAATGTCCTGAATGAAGAGTATGAAAAGTTGCATTGAGTTGTCTTTTATTAGGAGGAAGGGGGGGGGGTGTTGAATGGTACATTTGATTTTAAATTACAAAATATTGTTTACTATCAACTACCTCAAGTTCTGCATCAATCTTTCTGATATGCTCATCCAGGTTGTGATCAAACTCATGCTCAATATCAACTATTAATATATATCTTATCCTTTCAAAAATTAATTTCCCCTATATTTTATACGCCNCCCACCAATTCAATTTCAAAATTGCCGTTATAGTTTAGAGATATTGCCCAAATTATTGTCAACATGATTATATTTTTAGTAGAAATATCATAAATTAAAAAAAAATTAATGAAATTATTAAAATAATTTGTTAATTTAAAAAAAAATTACCCCATCCTGGATCTGAATTACAGGGAGATCCTATTTCATCTGTGGATTTAGAATTTAAAGTTGTGCTCTTTTTTGGGGTTTTCATGTTAGGTTTAGATCCTTCAAGAAATGTAATTCTTTGAGAGACATATTTAGAGGAGTGCATTGTCTTGGTTTTAACAGATGTTTCAATTATGTTAGAATTAAGTGGAGACTCTGCTTTTTCCTAAAATGAACAATATGTATTTTTGATTTCAGATAAATAAATGAACTGAAAATGTAGTATTGAGGAACAATGTTAAAAATGTTACCTCTGGTAGCTGTAAACCAGAATAGAGCTCATCTGTGCATTCCCTCATAAATACAATATCTGGCTTTAAAGATTGTTTTCCTAGTATTTTATCAACATCGTTCTCAGAATCATTATCTTAAAAACAAATAATGAAATCCACAAATGTAGCAAATATTACATTACAATTCATTAAATTAAACTTTAAATTGAATATACTGTATATCGCATCATAACTTGTTTGATATTGGAAAATTACAAAGAAGAAATTGTACTGCCAGAAATGAATTTAATGTTTTGTATTTATTGTGGAATGATATAGACAAGAAGAAATAAATTTACATTTCTTTTTTAATTGCTAAATATCAATTATCAATAATGTATACATTTAATCTCATATGCATTCATCAAGTTTGAAAATAAAACAGATAAATTCAAATATACATGTGAATTGTAAAATATTTCAGCGATTATCTTTAGGTCATAATAGAAAAAGATAACTAAGAAATATACTTATGACAAATTACCTAAGCATGAGTTATCACCACTGGAATGTTTTCCAAATTCCTCTTTGTCTAACTTGGAATCTGACGTAGATTTCTTTCTTAGATTACAGCTACGAAAAAATGTTCTTTTTTTATTCTGATAATCATTGCTTTCTATAGTTTAGAGATTTAAGTTTAAAAATTTTTTATTACAATTATGGTAAATAAAAAGTTTAGCCGATAATATTTTCTAAAATTTAAAATTAATCACATTAGATATGGAAGTATAATAATGTGCTTTGGTAGGAATTGTTGAGTATTTTTTAACTACGTTGTAAAGCAAAGAGCAAGAATATTTGATTTGATAGTAAATTTGTTAGGAACCCATCATTCAATGAAATATGGGTTGGTGCTCCTAGCCGCCGAAATGTATGCATGGGCTGACCAAACCGTGTCACCCTAATGAGGAGACTTATACTATGCGATTAGCCAAAGACTTTAAAGCCTATTAAAAAATAGTATCTATTTTTATAGCTATAATAATGTGAAGACACATAGCTGTTCGGCTCTCTGCAATATTTTTTAGCAGCATCTTAACCATAAAACAGCTGGGAGGTGTGAATCTTTGAATAGACTGGTGGGCAGGGGATGCCCCACGCCACTTCTCTTAGAAAATGACCTTAGAGAAGAGGTATAGGGTTTAAATACATGTACATAGCCAAAATTTTCAAGGCCAGCTCATAAATAAAATTAAATCAATATTTTTTTTAGTTTGGGTGCTAGGGAGGGTTGAAAAAAATCAGAAAAGGTGGAATAAATGTTGAAAATTATTTTTTTGGTATTAAACAAATATCAAACATGTCTTTACCGCCATGTACCCTACGCTATGCATAACACAAAATTATAATCAAATCCTTTAAATTATTATTTATGAGAAGTAAAAAAATTTCACTTTGATAGTGTACAAAATAAGAGTGCTAGGGCCAAAAAAAGAGAGGCGGTTGGGCGCAAAACGCCTACCCCCCAGCCTGTTTATGATAAAGCAAACTTGTTATTTTAAAATCAAGGTATTATGTATCTTACAAAAAAACAATTAAACAGTTCCTTAGACCCCTGTAAAATCATAAAAAATACCTTGCAAGGCAAATTCTTCAACTTATCATTCTCTGGTAGGTGTGAAGTTTCAGGACTGGATGACATATTTAGGATGGGACTGTTCCTTATTGGAGGGTCGGTTTTCATAATGGATGGAATCATAGAGAATTGAATCACAGTATGGTTATGAACTTTCACTGAGGATTTGTCATTAAGTTTATATTTTTCCATCATTTTCTTTTTCTCTTTTTTCTTCTATACTTCATTGTTATGCAAAGGAACTAGATTATAAAATTTCTTCAAATATGAAAATAGAAATTTTGACGTTTCTGTGATCTCTGGTTAGGGAAGGCATTTTTTTTTTTTTAAACATAAAATATTTACTTATTTTTAAAATAAAATAAAACCATTTATTTTTAAAAAGTACATTAATTAGTGCTTATGTATCCATAGCTGTGCATTTTCTAAGCGGCTAATTTACAAAAAAAAACTCTAAAGTATATTTGTTATTTTTATTTATACAAATTTTTAACAAAATTTGATAAAACTTTTTTATAATTCACTAAAGGTTATTGCACATGGAAACCCTATATTTAAAGTAATATAGTCAGTATTGAGGCTGAATTCTTCAGAGGCTTTAAACTCAAAAACAAAAAATCACAGAGAACTCAACAATTCCCGTTTTTTCCTTTAAATAAAAAATAACCATTTTAACTTACAAAAAATTGATTTTTAATTTCTAGTTCTATACTGAATCGCATAAGAAATTCCATAAAAAATGTCATATCAGAGAATAATTTACCAATGTGACTTGTAAACTGATTGAGGTAAAATGTTAACAATGGTTTCCTTGCACACATCTAGATGATTTTCAATGCTCTCCTTGTACATAACACGACTTAAATATTTAGAATATTAACACAATCTTTTATTATTGAGCAACTAAAAAGGGATCTTGATGAATTTAAAAAGGAAATATGAAATGCTCGAAAATTTCCCTTTTACAAATATAGAGATTAGAAAATTTAATTATAGTTCAAGTGACCCTCCACTTAAAAGCTACATTATTGATTCACATTATAACAAAGCCATGAATTAAATTGAAATATCTATCACTTTATGATTTCTTAAACAGAAACAAGGAACAAAATGTACAATATCGTTCTCTTTTATAGATTAAAAAACCACAATGTGTTACCAAGATAAAGTTCAAAGGGTAACATTGTAAACCAACCTAATGATAATTCCAAAGGAGGGTCACTTGAAATTACATCAACAGTTATTAAAAAAAGTCTCCACCTGCACAAATCACATTTAACTAAATCTCTGTAATTGTGAGCTCTGTTTAAATGTCGTTGAAGATTCCTTCTGAATAGTTCTTTTCCACATTGTTCGCATATTACTAAAAGATGAAAAATATATCTTAAATGAGCTTTCAAAAAAAAGTTCCTCATTTACGTTTTCTCATAATTTGGTAAATCTTAATGAAATCTTTTCTGTTCTAAACAACTATATAGAAAAATACATACCCATTTCATTTTTCTTTTCCATACTTCTAATCATGTTTTAGGTCTGAAATAACAAAATATTATACATGATATTTTGTTAACAAAATAATTACAAAAGCTTTAATAATTTCAAGATAGATTTTTCGGCCTTGAGTAAATTGATGCAGATGGAAGCATCTGCTGTGTATTGCACATGGAAGCATCAGTNTAAGTGGTATTGTTTTGAAACAACTGTGTTTAAGATTTTTAAAGTGATTCTCAACACTTGATGATGTAGGATATTCTCCAGAATAACAAGAAGGCACAACAGCCAATGAGAATAAAGGAAGAAGTGGAAGATATTGATCAATAAAATATTGGATGATATTTTTACAGAAATATTCATTTTCTTCAGCACAGGAATTGTGTAATTCAATTTTTTCTTGATTATAAACTTCTTCCGTTATATTTTGGAACAGAGATTTAAACTTTGATTTATTTCTAATTCCATTAATATCTGTGTCACTTTGTTCATCTTGATATATGTAATCTTGCTTAGAGCTATCAGATTTCTCTATTTCGTCACACACTTGATCTAACTGTAGGGTGGTTGTTTTACAGCTATATTTGTACCCAAAATACTTAACAGTAAGTTGCCATAGCTCGATTACTTTTTTCAAACTTCTGCATTTTAAAACTTTTAAGAAAATTAAAACAAAGCGGTTAGCAATTCTCTTGTTAGTTTTTTTCAGTGCACCTTTCTGAAAAATTTTTACTAAATGCAACATATCAATGAGGATTATGCTTTCACCTTTAACTAGTTGGTATTCTGATTTCATCTCGCAATATTTTTTTTGGATGTATGAATTTATATTTGTTTCAAAAACTGATCTTAAAATCGTGTTTATCAGTGGCCAAGAAAAATCAAGTACCCAAATCTGGCAAATATCATCACTTTTGGAAAACTTTTTTAACGAGTCTTTCCATTTTATCATAGATGGAATCAAGTCTATTGACCTAGCTTTTTTAAGCATAATGTCACAAACTGGTACTGCATGTGGTCCTGCTATGCTAAATGTTAATAATCCACTTGTATTTAGTTTTTTGTTTAAAATGTTATTGGGGTAGTAACAAATTTCACCAGAGACATCACATGAAAGAATTAATGGGTCTTCCCATGTAGCCTTGACATTTAAGTTTACTACATATTCCAACATTTGATCATCGTAAAGCGACAATACAAATGGATACAAGTCCAGGGCTCGTATATAGGCACCATCATCATAGTCCAAACAACATTGTAGCTCATTTAGGTATTCACATTCGTTCATTGTTTGAGGTCCAATCTCTTGTTTGGCTTTTTGAATAGTTTCCAATGAATGGCCTTCATCACTTTCATCACTTGTGTTAAATTGTTCTAAATGTGCCATTTTTGTCCCTATTTGGAGAGCTCTTCTTGATATTATTTTCCTCTTTGTACCTGCAAGCCTTTTATGTACTTTATAGGAATGTACATCCTTTCTAAGTTTGACTGTTACTCTGACTAGTCCAAGCTTGAAAGGATTATCATGTAAAACTGCTTCGCAAAAACAGTCTCCTTTCCGACAGGCTCCACAAATTTTCGCAAATGCGCCCTTATGATTTTTATAAATGTTTTGATAACAGGTATTGAAATCACAGTCAGTTCCCATTTTTGAATTAATTTCATTCCAGAATACAGGGTTATCCCTTTGAAGTAGGGTTCGAAAAGTGCTATGTTCTTGCAGTCCTTTTAAAATATTAACAGAAGGAATAACCACATCTGTTTCTATTGATTTTAAATTATCTTCTTTAATCACTTTCATTAAAGAAAACAAATTGTTTATATCAGCAGACAAACGATCCTTTGGATTTAACAGGTTCTGTACATACATACTCAGAGCAGTTTCTAATAAATTGTTTGATTTAATATAAAAACAAAATAAACAGGGTAAGGCAAAATATGAGATGAGTGTTGTTTGACTTTAACTTTAAATGCCGTCACTTATCATTTTAGAAATCTCAACTGCAATTCTGATAAAAATAATCATCACAAATTTCATTTTTAAATTTTGAAAATGTATACCAACACTCAATCCAAAACTGAAATCAACATTTCCAAAATAATATCTGATGTACTGCATCAAAGATGTGTTAACATTTTCAATTTATCTTTGGAAATCTGTACACATTAAAATAAAATCATGTAAAAATCTATATTCAAGGTGGCAGAAGTGAAAGGAGGGGGTTTTTATTGCCAATGCAATGGTGGAATGCCCCTCACCCTTTGGAAAAATTAGTTGCAGACAAAATAATGACTTCCTTACTGGGGGTGGGGGGACATAAACCCAGTCACCCCCCCCCCCNTTTATAACTTTTTGGAATAATTCATTAATATAATGTGATTGTTATTTAAAACCCATGAATTATATACTAAAATTAATCAAACATTTAAATTCAGTCCTGTATGTTGAAGTATAACATTCATGAGAGCCACATCATGTTTATTGCTTTTAGCAAATGCTAATATCGTTTTTAAGTAGTCCACTAAAAAAGATTCATCTTGAATATCTATTACAGCCGTTAGATTATGAACAACTTCTTCAGAATTTCCATGATACGTTTTGAACAATTCAAGAACAGAGAAATTGAACGCCTGAAATTAATTATCATGTATAAATATAAATATAAATATTAGGGTTGTTCATTTTTAGGGTCACTTTTGGTACAGAGATGCAAGGTCGCCAGAAAGTTGCATAATTTTTAAGATTTTCAAAATAATTTGTTTTAAATTCTTAATATTTTTTTCCAGCATGCACAAATTAATTAAAATTTAACCTTTTTTCTTTTTTTTCACAAAAAATGGTAATATGCCCATCCCTAATTTGGTTATCAACATGCATATCTGTTATTATGGAGATGAACATGTATAGAATACACACAAAAAAAATAAAACCCTATCTTGACTGGACTGCTGTGCTCAAAATGTGATCTTCAACTGCGCCAAAAAATTTAAAATCAATCAATCAATCAATATTTTTCAACATTTTTGGCGCAAGTATTTCTAACAAAGGTAGAATGTTAATTTTTTTGTGATAAAATTAGACCATTTCAGATAATATATCTGGACAGTATCATGTCAACTTATCAGGGGGGGGGGGAATGAAGTAAAACTTGCCTGTGAAATAAAGAACACTAAAAAAAGTATATTTTACCTTCCAATCTAATTTTATCAGCATTCCAATTTCGTTTACATCTCCCAAATCAATTTCTCCAGAACTAACAATCTAATTTATTTTATGTTAGTGTCTAATATACATGTACCCCTTTCTTCAAATTATTGGAAGGAATTATCATTATTAAAACAAAGAAGTTTGTTTATCACATGAGAGACAAACGTGTTTTGATCTTAAAATAAGAAACTAAATCAGGTAAGTTAAGCTAATTAGGATTTTAGGACCAATAAAATGTCATTTAATATCATAAATGACAAAAAAAAAAATTTCAATGGCACAAATGTTGCGTGAGCCATTAACAAAACAGATTGGAGAATTAAAAGAAAAGGACACAACAATGAAATGGTAAATATAACAGTCACTTTGACTATTGAGCCAGCTGTGTTAATTGTTCAAAATTGGAATGATATTAAAAATTGTAGGGTTGTAAGGATAGGAGAGAAGTTTAAAGTAAAGGATGTATAGGGAGATGTTGGAAAAAATAATGATGTGTATAAATAGACAGATGAATAGATAGATAGATAGGGGCTCGATGTGTAAGCATTAAGCATTTTTCAACCCGTTAACATTTTCATTGAAAATTTCTAATTTCTTAATTAAATGGATGTTTTTCATTATAAAGCTTTGCGGACTTATTTTATGTAACCCCTCATTGTTCATCAAATCATTTTATTTCGAATATGTAAATTTATTTATTTTTATTTAAAGAATTTAAACTCTGTACCTCTGAACA